TGATATTGCTTATGAACAAAGCTGCCATTGTGTTTCTCTTTACACACTGAGTTAAATAAATACTTCAAGTGGTTTTACATATACATATATATATATATATATAGATAGATATATAAGGTCTAATAGGATAGTAAGCAAAATAAATAAGAAAATGCTTCCCTATCCCTCCGGAGCCATTTAAAATTTCACCCCAAAAAACACAACCCAAACCATTTGAACTAGTTTCCGCCATGGACTAGAAAGCATTTTGAATAAAAAGTTCTGAGTATTGTGTGGTTTCAGTGAAATAACATTGAAACACAAACACTCATCTCTACACTAAAAATACACAAAGGTTTGTGTATGAAAATAATAATTAAAAAATGTTTCTTGTTGCCCAAAGCAATCAATCAGAATCCTTGTTTCGTTTTCAGCCAAGCCCTGCTGAACTGACAGCTGGAAGCTGATTGGTTGCAGAATCTGGCCACATTACCTCCTGTAACACAATTAGGGACACTGAGTGTGACAAAGTAACATTTGCTGGGGATCACCAGCATTCCAGTGATTGATTCTACATCTTCTACTTATAAATAATCATTTCTAATATATTCTTTTGTTTTAGTATCTGGGAAAAGAGAACTTTAAGAAACTTGTGGTAAGTACCAGAAATTCTCAGAATGTGTTGGCATCGACAGAGTCTTGTATTGTGTTAAATTTGGGGAAATTGGTTAACATCTAAGTTCTGTTAAGCCACATTAAGCTCCCCAAAAAACGAGCTTAAAGGAGAACTATGGGGTCAGTGTTTTTCACTCACCTCATAGTTCTAGCCGACCTGTGACAATGAGACTGCCACAGGTCGGCTCAGTATATCGGAAGGTGAGCGAACACATACCAGCAACCTTGCTCCCCTCTCAATCTCTGCCATGACAGGGGAGGGGCTGGACTCCCCCCTCCCCGCTCCGATCCGCCAGCGCTGACTGGCGGAACGGACGGGGGAGGAGGCGGGTACAGCTGGCTCTGCCTTTAGATAGGCAGAGCCAGCTGTCAGTCACGCAGCTGGGCGGATCCAGGCACAATTGTCGGGGTCAGCTTCAGCTGCGGCGTCTCAGTATATAGGGAGCTACAGCTCGCGGTATACTGAGCCTAGGGTGACGGGAGGACGCTAGTTTGTGTCCTCCCGTTACCCTAAGGAGAACTATGGGGAAAAGCCTTAACCCCATAGTTCTCCTTTAATGCCATTCATTTGCCTTGTGGGAAACCAAAATCCATGAAACTTCCAGGAGAGGTTTGGGAAGTGGAAAACATACGTTGTGCAGTTTCAAGGCAATTGATTGAGGTTTAGGCTAGGGATGCACCAATATTTGTTTTACGGTACTCGCCAATACCGAGTACTGGAGGCGTGTGCCCCGATTATCAGGAAGTCAGGCGGCGGATCATGACCCGTCGGCTGGCCTCCTGATTGCCTGTGAAGCCGGGGTTTAGCAACAGAACACCGTCTTCTTTTGCCGAGGCTGCCTGGCTTCCTGACCAATCAGGAAGCCGGGCCGGCGAGTCATGAGGTGCTGTCCAGCTCCTGATTGGTCAGGAAGCCAGGCTGCCTAGCAACAAGTGAAGCCGGCTTCCTAGCAAATCACGAAGCCAGGAGACGGATCCTAACCCGCCACCCGGCTTCCTGATTGGAAAGGAAGCCGCCTCCATGCTCCCTCAACACTTGGGGTCAAAGGGAGATCTCCCTCTGACCGGAAGTTCCAGTATTGGAGCATTTGGGTGAGTACGAGTACTCCCCCAAACACTCGATATTGGCACCGATACCAATACTAGTATCGGTATCGGTGCATCCCTAGTTTAGGCACTTTTTTTACACATTAAGCCATTTTCACATTTAATGTTTTAGGATGTTCCATTTAAAATATTGCTACAAAAACTGAAGTGGTAATTACCAGGATGGGGTGGATAGGTTCCAACGGGGTGACCTAAATCTTGTGCATTATGGTCCCACTAACCATAAGTTTTAGTAAAGGCCGAGCACCTTCCAGATAAAGAATGTACATCACATGAATTAATTATTATTGTAAACTTATATTTCTTCCTGTTGTCTTTTCTCGGTACAGCCGCCAAAGCCGGACGATTTGTGCCTGATTTGTTTTACAAGCGGGACCACAGGTATTGTCCATCCGCCGAACTACAAACTAATCAATAAACAGCATGTAGATGAACGAGAGAGAGCGAGAGATGGGGAGAGAGAGGAGAGAGGGGAGAGAGGGGGGGCGAGAGAGGAGAGAGAGAGGGGGGCAAGAGAGGAGAGAGAGAGGAGAGAGGGCCAGGAGAGAGAGAAAAGAGAGAGAGAGGGGAGAGAGAGAGGGGAGAGAGAGAGGGGGAGAGAGAGGGGGGGTGAGGGAGAGAGAGGGAGAGATACAGTATATAAATTATTTTATATTTTTTTTCTTTCTTTTTTTTCCCTCCTAAAAATAAATTGGATGTAATTTATGTTGAATGGAAGTAAATTGAATGCAGCGTCATGTGAAATATTCAAACCTGTAAAAAAAAAAAAGGCGCCATCCTGATAATTTGCGTCCTCACCAATTTCTTCCAAATAAAAGCCGAGGAAATAAATATCTATGTATCCAAATCTGCTACACAAAGCAATACCTATGTCAGGAAAAACAACATGTAACACTAATGTATATATAAAATGTATAATGTAATCAATAAATGTAAAATGTAATCAATAAATGTATAATGTAATGGGTAGACTACAAATGCTTAAAGGAGTAAAGTGCGGAACGAAGACACTTCTGAAATGATAAAAATTCTCTGGGTGGATTCCGGGGCAGATTTTGGGGGGGCAAAGTTCCGGGGACTCGAATGGTTAGGAATATGTAAATGCTGGAAATATCCCTAGCCCGGCCATAGATTCACTTTAAAAAATACAAGTCCTCATCAGCATTTCCCATAGTTGTAGTCTCACCCCTTTTCGCTGCCACTTTGTTGCACATATTTGTGGCAATGATCCCTACTTCGCTCACTCTCATATTTCTCAATGTTATTGTCCATCAGGTGACCCGAAAGGAGCCATGCTGACCCACAAAAACGTTGTAGCTGATGCCGCCAGTTTTATTAAAAATGTGGAGGTAAGTCTTCGTCTTCCCCAAGACTCTCAGCAGATTGTCAGCTCTTAGTGTTCTCTGCAGCAGTCGTGTATTTCTGTTCATTACATCGGGATTTATCTTTTCTTGTAAAACACAAAAGCTGTACTCTGGGCAAACAGTATATATATATTTTTTTCAATAAAACATATATATATATATATATTAGGGCTGTGGAAATTAAAGATTCATTTCTCGATTAATCGTTAAACTTTTTGATCGATTAAAATAATTTTGATCGCTAATGAAAACACTCACCTCTCCGCCGGCTTCCGG